AAAATGGGTGAGATCGAACCATTTAATCCCGATACGGATTCATGGTGTGAGTGGGAGGAACGTTTTGTCTTCCTCTTGGAAAGTAAGGAAATCACTGATGGTACCGTCAAGAGAGCTCGTTTATTGACTGCTTGTGGGAAGAAGGCGTATACATTGTTTCGCAGCTTAGTTTCACCGGCTGCACTGCATGATAAATCGTTTGAAGAGCTGTTAGAAGTGATGAGAGCTCACAAAGACCCCAAGCCATCGAAAATATTGAGCAGATTTCGATTTAGCCAGTGCCATCGTGATCCGTCTCAACCTGTTGCAGACTTTATCGCCGAGCTCCGCAAGGCAGCAGAGCACTGCGAGTTTGGAGGCACACTGGAGGATCGGCTGATGGAGCAGCTGGTGTGCGGCATCGCTGACGAGCGCATCCAGAGGCACCTCTTGGCTGAGCCCCAGCTGGACTTCTCCAGAGCTCAGCAAGTCAGCCTGTCGCTCGAGATGTCGAGTAAGGACGCTCAGGTCATCGCAGGTCAGTGCGGGGGCACGGGCCACGCCACTGTCCATGCTGCTGCAGCGCAGGCGAACACAGAGCCTTGCTGGCGTTGCAATCGTGCGAATCACAGTCCAGATATATGCAGATTCCGTAACTTCAAGTGCCGAAACTGTGGCCAGTTCGGCCACATTCAGAGAGCGTGCAGGCGCCGCCCACGGAAGTCGGCCACTTCTGGGAGGCGCCGTCAGTCGGCCAACAATGTCACCGGCTCCGGCGATGAAGAGGACTGGGAGAGCTGGGTGGAAGCCGAAGAAGCAGTCGGCCAGATCCGTCGATCCACTGACACCGGCACTGCTGACGTCAGACAGGTGGGTGGCTCACTTCCGTTCACGTGTGATGTTAAACTGCAACAGACTGATGTGACAATGGAGATCGACACAGGCTCTAGGTACACTCTCATTGGAGAGAATACCTTCAGCATGTTGAACTGCAAGCCTAGGCTGAAAGAGTGTAGGGTTCAGCTACGAGCATATACACATCAGCCCATTCCTGTGCTCGGGGAATTTTGTACGTCTGTCGAGCACAATGGTATGACATACCCTGGTATGAAGGTGATCGTGGTGAAAGGCAGCAGATCCAGTCTCTTGGGCAGAGACTGGTTGGAGGCCATCCGAATCAACTGGTGCGAGGTCAAGGCGGTCTTCAACTCGGCCATCGATCAGCTGAAGGGAAAGTACCGTCAAGTGTTCGAGCCGGGTCTCGGTGAGTTAAAAGGGGTCGAGGTGAAGCTAGAGGTGGACCGTTCTGTGCCCCCCAGATTTTTCAGACCCAGATCCCTGCCGTACGTCTACAGGGAAAAGGTGGAAGAGCAGATCGACAAGGACGTCAAGGCGGGCATCCTGGTGCCGGTGCAGCACAGCCAGTGGGCTGCACCACTGGTTCCAGTGCTGAAAAAGTCTGGTGAGATCAGGGTATGTGCCAACTTCAAACTCACTGCCAACCGTGCCGTCAAACTGGATCAGTATCCACTGCCGCTCGTTGAGGATCTTTTTGCTCAGTTAGCGGGAGGAGTGATTTTCTCGAAGATTGATCTTGCACAAGCTTACAACCAGATTCCCATTCATAAAGATTCGAGGGATGTTTTGACGATAAGTACGGCTAAAGGGCCCATGTCCTATACTCGCTTACCATTTGGAATATCAGCTGGGCCAGGGATATTCCAGCGAGAGATTGAAAAGGTGTTGAGCGGCATGCCATCTGTTGCCGTGTACCTCGATGACATTTTGGTGAGCAGTAGGTCCACTGAAGAGCACCTGAAGACGCTGGACGAGGTCCTCCGCCGCTTGCAAGAAGCTGGACTGAAGGTACGTGCATCCAAGTGTCAGTTCATGATGCAAAAAGTGGAGTATTTGGGGCATCTGATCGACAGGAATGGCATCAGACCGACGCCAGCCAAAGTGAGAGCTATCAGGGATGCTCCAGTTCCTAAAAGTGTCAAGGAGCTGCTAAGTTTTCTCGGAATGGTGACCTACTACGCAAAGTATCTGCCCTCCCGTGCTGACAAGTTGGCCCCGTTGTACGAGCTCCTCCGGAAAGATTCCAGATGGCGCTGGGGTACCGAGCAGGAGAAGAGCTTCCAGTGGGCGCGGAACGCCCTGACGTCGGACTCATTTCTGGCGCACTACAGGAGTGGCCAGCAGCTCGTCTTGGTCTGTGACGCCTCTCCCGTCGGCATCGGCGCGGTACTGGCGCATCGAGAGGCTGACGGATCAGAGAGGCCTTTGGGGTATGTATCGCGTACTCTGACAGAGTCTGAACGCAGATATGCACAGATTGACAGAGAAGCTCTAGGCATTGTGTTCGGCGTGTGCAAATTTCACAACTATCTGCTCGGGAACCGTTTTAAGCTGGTAACAGATCACAAGCCGCTGTTACGACTGTTCGGAGAACATCAGGACTTACCGACCATGACCTCTGCTAGGATCAGACGGTGGGCGCTGAAGCTGTCGACATACAGTTACAGCGTTGAGCACAGACCGACTGATCGCATGGGAAATGCCGACGCTCTGTCCCGTCTTCCGTTACCTTTAGGCAAATCAGGTGAACCGGAAGAGCTGGTCTTGATGGTGGACAGTCGCGTAATCGACGCAAAAAAGATAGCCCGACTCACAGCTACGGATCGGACGTTGAGCAGAGTGCTGCAGAGTGTGCAGTATGGTGATTGGTGTGAAGGTGACGATGTGCCAAAATCATTTACCGACAGGAAACTGGAGCTGTCAGTCACCGCAGGCGTCCTCATGTGGGGACACCGTGTCATCATTCCAGAGAGGGCACAAGGCGAGGTACTGGCCGAGCTACATGCTGCCCACCCCGGGATGAGGCGCATGAAGGCGCTGGCACGAGGCTACGTCTGGTGGCCGGGCATCGATGCCGCCATCGAGGAAGTCGTGCGGAGCTGCCAGCCATGCCAGGAGAGCCGCCCAGCACCGGACCGCGCACCGCTGAGTATGTGGCCCTGGCCGGACCGCCCGTGGTCCAGGATTCACATTGATTACGCTGAGCCGGTAAGAGGACGATACGTATTGGTTGTGGTGGACGCTCACTCAAAATGGGTAGAGGCTGAACTGTGTCACAGTATTGGCTCGAGGACCACCATTGTTCAATTGAGAAAAATGTTTTCACGCTGGGGCCTTCCTGATGTACTCGTGTCAGACAATGCGACAGCATTTACTTCTGAGGAGTTCCAAGAGTTTTTGCGTGGGAACGGCGTAGAGCACAAAACGATAGAACCAGGACACAGTCAGGGGAACGGTTTGGCAGAGAGGATGGTGAGAGAAGTGAAGCTAGCGCTGCAGCGCTCTGGCGGGGGACAATGGGATCTGTGTCTCGCAAATTGGCTCCTTCATCAACACATTGTCCCTCAGTCAACAACTGGTGTTCCGCCCGCAGAGCTGATGCTTGGCAGGAGGCTGCGGAGTAAGCTGGACCTTCTACGGCCGAGCATCCGGGCGACGGTGGTCAAAGGTCAAGTGAGCCAAAAACAAAACCATGACGGTAAGCGTACGCTTCGCACTTTTGACATAGATGACCAGGTTTATGCAAGAAATTTCTCAGTGGGTCGTCCTTGGGTACCCGGCTTTATCTGTGCGATCGATGGACCGGTGTCGTATGTGGTACGATTAGAAGACGGGAGATGCTGGAGACGTCACATCGATCAACTTCGTGAAAGAGGACGAGAGCCAAAAGAGATCGATCTCCAGGTCGATGAACTGAGACGCCGACCCCTGTCCACAGGATATCGTCAGCTACCTGACCTGAGCCGGAGCGGAGAGGTGACATCTGGCGGCGGCGCTGAGGGAGCTCACTCTGGCTGGCTACCGGCTGCCGCCGACGCTGTTCAACGGCCGCCCGCCGCGGCGCTCGTTCGGCCGCCGGCACCTGGTGCTGCCGTTGGGTCGTCTGCCGAGCCGTCTGCTGGGTCGTCTGGCGAGCTGGCTGGTGTTGCTGCTGGGTCGTCTGCTGAGCCGACTCAGCGCGAGGTCTCGGGCGCTGCCGTTCCGTCATCGCCGCTATCTGGCCGAGTGCCGCTGTCGCAATCTCAGCGGACGGCGCCGGTGCCATTGTCGCGGCCCGATGACGCGTCTGTTTCTACGGGCAACCGCAGTGAGCTCGCGCGTCGCTATCCGGTTCGTGTGCGGAACAAACCAAACTTTTACGTGGGAAAGTAATGTACGGTAATTGGGCGTGGTCCATGCGACGACTGCGCGTGCGCGGGGCCGCGCGGCGGCTGCGCGTGCGCAGGGCGCGGTGTGCGTGCGCCTGTCTGTTAGACTGTACCGCTGTGTCATCGTCTGCGCGGGTCAGCCGGCCCGCGCGGCATTCTGAAATAGAGTGGCAAACTGAACAGCTGTGTTCCTCTACAGATCCTTACACCCTTGTTGGTACAAAGACATGAATATGTTCATCTCCCTCTCCCCCACCCCACCCGTCAGAGGGCAGTCGTTTCCGAGTGCCTCTGTACGCACGTCTCTGCCCGGCTGTTGTTTCAACTATGGACGGCTCACTGAGCGAGCTGCACAGTATATAAACAGACACGGACAGAGCAAACATCGCTTACTGGAGACAGAGGCGCCAACAGACGGACAAACAAACGGTGTCAGACCCGCCCCGACATCACTACGCACTCAGTGACTTGCTCGGCACACTGCCATACTCGTATGTTCGCCCATTTGTCCCATCTATCTTTTCAAACACGATACAGAACATCAAGGATAAAAGGCATCCCATGTGGATATTGAATATCAAAATTGTTGTATCCCTCGCCATCATTATTTTGCACCGCTTCGAAATATTGAACAAAAAAAGATGGATTTATCATGGACATTGTTCTCATCAGAATTGATGAAAAGTCACTAGATCTTTCAAAGAACAAGGATGATAGGAGCACGTATAAGCGACTGCATGCCTGTTAACAATTACGCATACCATACCGACGCGAGACTGAGTCTGCTCCACCCACCTGTTTTGAACTGGGTGCCGGTCACGTACTGAGTGACAAAGTTGACCACGCGGCGGTACAGGGACCGCTCCCGCCGGCCCTGCACGCCCCTCTTGGAGTAGTGTCGGCTGGAGCCGCCGCCGTTACCATGACCACTGACAGAGGCGTACATGACGCTGCCACGTCACCGTCCAATGTCACCGCTCAGCCCAGCTCAGGTCAGGTCAGGTCAGGCTGCTGGTCACTCGACAGCAATACTGACTTAGCCATAATTCTTACCACCAATTTTGCAGTGATGTTATAAAATTTACATAAGCTTAGCGCTGGGTGAGTGGCACACTTCATGCGCCACTGACCACAGCATTGCGACCCCTGCACGGCCTTCACACCGACTCAGAGCTAAGCGTGGACGGCACACTGATTTCCGGATAAAAATCTTGTCACGTGCCAAAGGGCTTAAAACTGAGCCATCTTCGCTGCAGCGTTCCAGCCGGCTTAGTTTCTGTGACGTCCTTGATGTGACACTCCTGCCCGAGTGACGTCAATGATGTGGCACTCGTGCCCGAGTGAAGTCGATGGACGTCGGAGGCTGTTCGCTGACTCTGCGGCTGGCTCGTGAGACCTGAAGTGGTCGATAACACGTGACACCTTCAGATTGACACGATGGTGCACCCTCTGTAAGTAAATGCTGCAGGTTGCATCATAGACCTCGAGTTCACATTAGAATCCGGGTCAGGTCAGCTAGGGAGGTCAGCAAGAGTATCTAACCGCTGTAAAAAGTTATATTGCGCTTTTCCCACACAGAGAGCATATGCAGAGTTCAACTGAATCTCGCAGTTTAAAATCCGTCCAAGGTCAGATCAGATCAGGTCAGGTCAAAAGGCGCCATCAGGTCATAATAGAGTATATAGGGTGCTGCGTCGGTATTTATTTGCTAGTTCACAATACTATTTGAATCTCACTTTACTGCAAATATATTTTTGTTGTCATTTGAAGAAAAAAATGTGAACGCGGCGTCCCACGCACCGTGCAGTGACCACGCCGCGGTCGGTCCGGCGGCGTCGCGCTGTTGCGCACCACTGGAGCGGCGCGGTCGCTCCTTTAATCAGCGGGTAATGTCTGTCCGCGGACAGATGGGTGGGCCGCTGGCAACATACGCCCCCGGGGAGACGGATCGCCCTAATTGGTGCACGGCGGTGAACCGAGCCGCGCCCGGTCAGAGTGGCATCGACCTACACGGCGACCGCACCACCGGCTTGATGGCAATGTCACCTCGATCATGTCACGGCCCGGAGATCGGCGGAAGCAGTCACATGTTGTCATGGCAACGCTAATTCAGCGTCTGCACTGAAAGAAAAAAATACCACCCTAGTTAGTTTTTGGGTGGTGGTCATATTTTGAACAGCCTTTTACTTATGGTAAACCAGTTTACGATCCAAATACTAGGCCCAATATCAAAGGAATACTATGCAACTACCAATGCTCATCAAAATACCATGGTCTTAGTACGGTAATATTTTTTCATCATACTACCTTGAAACTAAAGCATAACTAATAAGAAACCAAAGCTCTACTAACGCTAGTATTATCCTGGTACCGCCTACTAAGAAAAATACCACCCTAGTTAGTTTTCGAGTGGTGGTCATATTTTGAACAGCCTCTTACCTATGGTAAACTAACTTACGACCCAAATACTAGGCCTAATATGAATGTAAAACCATGTGAATACCAATGCCAGTAAAAATTACCATGGTATTAACACGGTAACTATATGTCGTCATACCATGCCCAAAAACCCACGTGATACTAGCACGAAACTAGGACTTTACTATCGTTAGCTACTCCCTGGTAATGCTTACTAATGACTTATCATGGTAAAACCATCCTTTTGTCATCTGGATACCAGCTTTGCTTTGCTGGCCAACCATCGTAAAACAATAGTTTACTATGTGACATTTATTGTGATATTACCAGTCGGTTAACAGGATCTTACTAGTCATCAACCAGCATGCTTCATATGCTGTGCTTTAGCCTATCCATGCCAAATTTGTTTATCATTACGACAGCCACTTACTGATGCACAACAGCATGCATGACAGTATCTACCTAGCAGTCGACAAAGCAGCTCTTCACTTTTCCAAAGCATCTACCTAGTAACCTACATGAAATATTTCACACATAAAAAGCATTTGGCCACAAACAAAGTTACGTCTGCACATAACCAAACAACGCGCATGAACAACAATTATTACAGTTCACTTTATCATCACAATGCAATCGGTCTCTTTTCACACAATCGTTGAATGTCGCCCTTCCAGCGATTTATCACGCAACACCTTCTCCAAGGGCATTGGTAGCCATATACCGAAGGTTCGAACTTCGAAAGCCAGCTCTGGAAAAGAGCAGGCATTGATATAAGATAAACCAATGGAAAGATTGATTGTGTGTGCCGCAGTGACACTCTATCTCCTACCCCTCCCACCTTGACTCGCAGTGTCCCGTGACCTAGCTCCCAGTTTGATGAAACAAGGATTTAAGATAAGTTGTTTTAAAAAAATGGCAGCATCTAATAGAACAGGGGATTTGTAGGGTGAGGAATTTAGCAAATTTGGGACATTAGGCCAGAGGCTGGTTCAGGTAAAATGCCCTATAATGAATTAATTGCCATGAGGTACAGTGTTGAGTGTTGGCAATAATTCAAAAATTCTACTCTTAACCAGCGCCCCACTGGGGTATGTTCTGTAACGCACTCCACTGGGGGAGGCGGGGGCTATTTATAGAACCCCCCCCCCCGCTCCAACTCCGAAACTACTGGGCCGATTGTCAAAACTGAAACGGCGTCTGATAGCCCTGGAAAAACTGTCGAGCAAAACCTAATTTTATTGACCTCGAGATCACCGTTGACGTCACAGGTCAGATCAAAATAAAAATTAGCAACGTTTTGGCTTGTTAACCCTCCCCCGTATAGGGGGGGGGGGGTCGAACGGACTCCCCCTCGGTTTTTCGCGAATACCTCGCGTAAAAAGCGGCCGACCGCAACGAAGCTTTCAGTACCCTCGAGTTATAATCAATTTTACACCTACCCTAAAAAATGTAATGGCCCTGACTAATGACCTTTGACCTGTGACCTACTTTTCGAGACCATGTTTGGCCGGAATCGCGATTCGGCGTATGTCGGCTCGCATTTGCCGCGCGTTTGCAGTCCTTTCGTGGTTTCAAGCGTTCAAACATGGGATATGATGCTGCTCCCATGCATTAGGGTGGATGTCAAGGTCACCAGAAGGTCAGGTCAGTTCATTGACCTTTGATGACCTCGGTTTACTTTTTCGAGTTTTATCAGCATCTTTCTAGGCTAGTTTTTTTAGCTGATTTCGAATTTAACAACCATATATGAACATTTACGAAGTAGTTTTGGTGCCTTCGTAACATGTTACGAAGCTGTCAGAGGCGGTTGCCACCTAGTGCACCTACTACGAATACCCGGCAAAACCCTTACTGGTTGACCTGACCTGACCTGACCCGACCTGGCCTAAATGCATGAAGACATCATCTATGATCATAGCTAACATGATATTCGTGATCAGTTCCCTAAAAAACCCAATAGCAGCCACGTTTTACGACGTTCTAACAGGTCCCAGTTTTCCCCACTTTTGGGTCATTGACCTGACCTGGAAGGTCAACCGATGACCTAGGACCGACGACCTAGGATAAAATTGGGTACCATCGGCTTTCTCTCGTCACGGGCAGCACGCTCGTTTTTTCCGCGAAGCTCTAGCTCAATCAGGGGCGAAACGGCAAGGAGGGGGTTCAACGGACCCCCCCTTAAACGTTCGTGGCTGAAAAACACCAATACGGGCGAGGGTTAACCCCCACCCTACTGTGGGGAGGGCTATTCATAGCCCCTCTCGTGTTTACGCAATATCTTTAAAACCGCTGGACGTATCAAAACAAAGCTTTTAGGACCTTCGGCTGCATCAATTTATTTGACACCTTGTGCACTAATAAAATTTTCGTAGCTACTATAGATCGGCCGGAAATGACGCCAGAGTGACATCATGTTCGGCCGATTTTGATGCAAAGCATTGAACAACGGTAATCGCTCTCAAGATCTGAGTTTTAACCCGGCAAGCGGTGGGCCTCCCGGCTACCTTCCGCGCGGTGGGAGGGGGGGGATTTTTGACCCCCCCCCCCCGAATCTCCGAAGCTACTATGACGGATCGGTAAAATTTAAATGGCGTTCGATAGCCTTGTTAAATTTGTCGAGGGAACTTCAATTTCATTGACCTCGGGGTCACCGATGACATCACAGGCCAAGTCAAAGATAAAATGTTTCACCGTTCACGGGTCTTTTAAGGAATGCGCTGCAACATCGAGTAAAGGGCATTTTGTCAAAAATCAGCGATAGGGCGTGAGTTGCCTATTATACGAGCATATGTTGCTATTGGAGGTCACTGATAATACCAGGTCCGATCACCAAGGGTCAGCACATGAACCTATCTTTACTAAGTAGGGTTGTGCGATGCATGTTTTATGGCCAATTTTTCATATTCGCCTCAATGGTGTTGGTTATAAGACCATCAGGGACGGTTTTTTGGTCACTTTCTGGTGGAGGTCAGGTCAATGTCAGGTCAAAAAGGTCAAATTTCAGGTCAAAGTTGATAGTTTCGCATAAAATTGGTATTGATTCGATGCCACTCGTCACGGCGAGTCTAATGGTGGTCTTTGTTTTGCGCTTTGTGGTCTAGAATTGCCAAAATCGAGTTTGAAAATTTGACGTCATTAATTTTGAACAGTTTTTTTTGTTATAACTTGGCAAAAAGGAGTTATCGATCTAATACTTGGAATGTGAATAGAAGTCCATAGTGGCTATTACATATATTCCGTTTGTTTCGAAAATCGAAAAACTTTTGGGATTTTTTGGCTATTATATCTATTTCTTTTTATTTTTGGGGTCAACTTCAAAAACAAAATCGAGAGAACGTAGCCCTGGTAATTCTACACATTTCATGTCTTGAACATTTTTATGCATAATCAAATTTATAGACCTGACAGCTCTTCCCGCGAAGCTTTTTTTTTGGTCGACAATGGCAGAAATGACGTCACTCCGACGTAGCGGCCAACTTATCATAGCCTTTGGAAAAAAAATTTGGTCACAATGTGCAAAAGGGTACTGAAAGTTTGGTGAAGATCGGCGCAGCGGTTCTGGAGATATATCGAAAAAAAAACTAAAGATGGATGCAAAAAATGCCCCCCCCCCACCGCCTTGAGGGTTAAGCTAGATCCTTTTTTTGCATGGGTGGACTCTACAGGGCTACCAAACTGATTTCGGACTTTCGAAATGTTGAATATTTTGAAAATTATAAATATAAAAACTCAGAAATTGTATTTTTTATTTTTTACATATACGTTTCTGAATGAAAAAAAGCAGAATATGACCACGTTTCCATGGGCATCACTGATCCGGATCAGTAAAAATGGATTAGCTAATCCAGTATAGTTAGACAATATATGAAAATGAAAATAAGGGATTAACTGATTATATAAGCCTAATCCACTTGGAATTATATCATGTAACGAAGAGTTCGAGAAATATAATACGATTTAAGTTTGCTGATCCGGATCAGTGATGCCCATGGAAACGGGGTCTATATGTGTTTGAACACATATGCGTTGAA